ATAAGCTTTCTTTTTCTTTCGTAGCTTCAAGTTTGTAAATTTCATACGTTAACACGAAGACAGGTCTAACATATCTGAATACAGATGTTTACTAAAGATTTATTCGCACAGCTGAACAAGTAACCTAGATTGCATTTAGTAAGCAACATCTGTAAAGCTTTCGAGGGAACTTTATGTCAGTAGAAATGCATTTATCAGCAGAAACAACGGAACGATTTATATGCACGTTGCCGCCTCTTCCATTTTCCATTGAATTTCCATTGAACAGCCTGATTTGTCACCCTGAAATATAAGGTGACGAGACAATTACTTTGAAAGTTTATATCTATAAAAAAAATATGGTTCGTATATTAGGACGATAAAGTGTACCAATAAACGTTCATTATTTTATATATTTTTTAAACGTTGCCCTTAAGAATAACATTGAAATTTGTGTTTGTAACACTTCCTTCCAATGCAGGATATTGGAAGGAAGTGTTGCAAACACAAATTTCACGTCCATAAACACCCAGATCCGAAGCAATTATCCGCGGGCCACACAGCAATTATTTATCCCGTATGAGAATCGAACCCACGACCCCCAGCGCCGAAGCCAATACCTTTGCAACTGGGCTACGGAGCCATTTAATCACAAATCAACATGAGAAAACATTGGGGTTATGCAGGCTTCAAAATTCGTTAATTTAAATAAACTTTAATCAATAATTACGTTATCAACTAAATTACAACTTATATTAATTATTCAGATAGGATCTAATCAGATGTGGAGAGCCACGACGCTTTTTATACCAAGAACAAGCAAAAGTCGTTATAAGATTTGTTAATTTTATTCAAAAATATTTCCATGGAGCAACATATTGCAGAACGCTCTCCCGAGACCAACGTTAATGTTGGTGTTTATTAAAATTCCGACGTTACTTGGGGTTTTAAAATATTCGTTACAATTTTTGGATTTTTTTTAGTTATTTTGTTAGGTTATCATTGAACAGCCTGAGAAGGACAAGTCGCGTTCAGTAACAAGTTTTCCATATAACATATATTGCAAAAATTAAAGACACATTTCTTGGGTAAAGATTCTTGTGTTTAGGAAAAAGTAAGCTTAGATAAACTTGTCCTAATTTCCGTCTGTTTCATTAAGGGTTAAAGAACATGAGCTCTAATTTTTATCATTTTTATCATTGGAGCTGACCACAGGTTTAGTACTCGGCGGTAAATAGTTTGGCGACTCTATGTATGGCGGCTTTAATAGACTTGCTTAATTTTTTTTAATGTGTGCACTTTATTTACATAATCGATATGTTTACCGTCAACTTTTACTCCGGTATGTTGACAAATGTAATATTATGAATATATAAGTATTTCATTTATTTCCAAGGCATTCAAATTTTATTACCTCGAAAACGGTAACAACTTCGGTATTCTGTTGCAGTTTACAATACTGATGACGTAGTTTTCTTAAATTATCTTCCAAGTCATTGTTATGCTCACAAAATACGTTAATATCTTCACGCAGTTAATTATTTACTTTGTAATGATAAATGCGACTGCGATACCGAATGTAACATTGTAATTGCAGACAAATTGGTTTTATTTTAGTTGTTATTATTCGATTGACGTCTATAATTATATAAATTAGTTAGTTTTTATTTTATTTATTTTTCTATCACTTCTTCCCAATACCATTATTTTTCTTATTTACCCGAATTGGACTCGGTTGGGGTTTTAATGCATAAGATTTTAAGAGCGTGCTGGAGTTGTCCGATGTGTTTTTATCAATACATACGCAGGCGGGGCGTTAATGTAATACAAACAACATAATTCTTCCTTTGCGAGTAAGGTCACATGATTTATGCAGACTTTTATAATTCACGGGCAGAATGTATAAGTACCGTGAAGAACGCGGAGCTTTCGCGTTTAGTTGCTGGACTCAATCAAAACCGGATACGTTTGTTTAAATATTTGCTCGTTAACTTTAGTTGTAGTTTTATAAGCTTGCTTATCATTCCGGTCGCTCCGGATACACATCGGTCCGGATAACTACCACATCCTCAGAGAATACCGGGCGTGAAGTATAAGTGTTACACTTATGTTTCGTCTGGTGAGTGATGTAGCCGGGGAGCACTCTATTAAACGGTGGTGATTCACGTCAATGACAACCATTGCCAAAGAAAACAGCGAAAACATCGATTATTTTTTTTTATGTATATCAGAGAATTTTTGGTCAAAAGCCCGTTTAGTACCTACCTGCAAAACCTCAACTGTGTTTCAGCGTATATAGAACAGTCTCCATTATTCCGTTGTACCATAAAGAAAATTCAAACGACCGCGCGCAACCGCACAACGTGTCAAAGTTTTGTAACTTTCGACGAAAGACCCAATTTATTTTATCCGAAACGGGTTTTCGAGCACACTCGCGCCCCTTTTGCCAATCTACTTAATTAAATCGAGTCACACCAAATTAGTCCAGATTAATGTTAAAACTGAGTACTTTACGAATTCGTCATGTAATTAAGGTATTTATATTCAAAGCGACAAGTGCCGTAAAACCCGAAAGTGGGTCGTGCAGGGGCCGCGAAACTAAGCGGACATCCCTTCCGAGGATTAGAAAAGCAAATCCTATCCTGTCCACTGCTACTTCTATTAAAATTAGCATAACTATCACAACGCAAACAGCGAATGGAGATTAATTACTCCAAAGCAAACCTCCCCATCATTGTGCTGCCTAAGCCTTAAAATAGAATATATGAATAGTAAAAAAACGTGTATTGATTAATAATATTGATATATGTCAGACAAAAGGGTGAACTGAATGGATTGTCTTATATATAGGGAATCGCAATTTAATAATGTTGAAAAAATTTTCTAACTTATTCATACCATTCACTACTAGTTCTACCGTTAACTCACTTTTTCAATCGCATTCTGGAAACTTTTGAAACACCGACACAATGGTCTTAGTTATAATACTAATTTACAAAAAGGAAGATTGCGGTTTATGTGATGTTACTAATTATATAGCAATAAGATTATGGCCATGTGTATATAAACTATTCTCCTCCCTTATTATTTTTGTAAACCTAAAACTTAAAGAAAATTAAAAAAAATATATAAACCAAAGAATAAGTATCACACTGAAATTTAACAACCCGTTGAACAAGCAGGATTCAGGAAATATTTCTCGACACACCCTGGAACAAATAATTGAAATATACCAAGAAAAACACAGAGCAATATACGTCGCCTTCATCAACTATAAAAAATCCTTTGATACTGATAATGTTTCACATTCCATTACCCAGAAGGTGCCATCAGAACCAGGGGCCGAAAATGACTATATACAGATAAAAAATGTCTATAATAAGAACAAAGGTGGGGTCAAACTAGAAATAGTAGGCCCAAGCTTTCATATTATAAGAGGAGTGAGACAATGCGACCCAAACTCCCCAAAACTATTTATTGCCATCCTAAAGTCGATAATAAGAAAACTCGATTAGAAAAGATGCGGCCTAAACATAGACGGAAAATACCTAAGTCACCTCCGATTTGCTGGCGAGTTAGTGTACTTATAGGAATCTAGCTCGCAATTAAAAATATTATCAAAACACTAAATGCAAATAGCAAGGAACTAGGGTTAAAGAGAAGACAATACAAATCGGCAATGAAATACTAAATTATACGAATAAATATGTATATCTGGGCAAACAAATCAGCTTCGAAAAGTAAAGCACCTTCTCAGCAATCAAAAGACGGATCCAACTGACTTGGAACAAATATTAAAGCTAGAGAGAGAATTAAATTTAACTGGCATATTTCTTTTAAATTTAAATAGAGATTTAAAGTGATGACAAGCTGCCTCTTCACTCTATATTTCTTATCTTAAAAAAGCGCGAAATTTTTTAATCTAAAATTAAAGCCTATTTTGTTAAAATGGTCTCTATTTAAATTATCAATGTTTTTTTTCTTTATTTAAATAAGTGGTATGAGGCGTGCACTTTTGAATTCTCCAAACATTTTTCTCGTTTCTGAAAATATAGGAAACGAGCGAAAGGATCACCTGATGGTGAGTGAGTATATATATGTATCATTTATGGTGAGTCGTCATCGTATTTCATGGATATTTAAGAGTGACACGTCTGTCCGGGTAAGTGTTATACTTCTGGAAGTGTTATACTTCTGCGTTTCGTCTAGTGCGTGAGGTAGCCGGGGCCCACTTTATTAAAAGATGGCAACGCATCTGCAACCCTACGGGTCTGGCAAATGTCCATGGGCGGTGGTTATCACTTAACATCAGGGGAACCACCAGCTCACTTGCCACCTTCTCACGTAAAAAAAGATAAAAAATACTGTGAATATGGACGTCTTGCATCAGAGACGAGAATACCGACCTAATTGTGGTGTTTATCTTTATTTGTGGGTTTTAATACCGACCTAGATTGTGGTCCTTTAACATAACAAAAAATATGTTAACAGCCAAATATTCCAAAATTGTTTAATGCACATTGTATATGATTTTTATCTATGTGTCAAATATTGGATCGCCGGACCTATTAATCTACTTAATTTTGTTCTTTTTAACTGTTCACTTCCAGACTTAGCAAAAAATCCTTTATACCCATATTATACAAAACATCACAATACAAAATATGTAAATAGCTACAGGAAGGTAATAAAACCAAATATATAGCAACGAATTTATTTACTAGTTAAATAATAAAATAATCTCGCTATTTTCTCTATAACCCATATACCATGCATACCATCTGGATCATTTTCATTTGTATTGCATTTTTCATCGTCTTTTTATCCCAACCTGTATATCGACATAAATATTATGATTTCTAATACACAACGTGCAATTATCAACAAAAACATATTACAACAAATTACATTTTCGTAATATGTGTGCGTAATAGAACCTTTATTTTTTACAGGTACAAAAACTATTCAATTCGAACATAATTATGATTTAATGCATAGTAACGACAAGACGTATGTCCCTAGTTGTCTTTGCCTTCGCCAGGCGCGCCAACCAAGAACCAGCGGGTTCGCGCTTGCACCGCCATGTTGCGAACTAGCCGCTTCCTGTCGTCGAGAGATGGCGCTAAATCCAAGAGCACATCTTGCTTGTATGGCAGCAACAGGACAGTTGGGTATGCCTTCGCTATCTCGAGAACACATTGGAGACTCTTTATCCGGACGTCCTGAAATGAATGTACTCTTGTTAGTAAAAGACTCTAGATCAGAGGTAAAATCTGCTTATTACGTCAAGGACTTAACGAATTAAAAAATCATATAACTCTCTCTCTCTATCTATGTCTTCAATATAGATATATCCACCCAATTTAAATTTATACTTGTGATTTACATTTGTATGAATGGTGCGGCTTGTCCGCGGAATTTGCAACGTCTTACCGAAGACCAGTGTAAAAATAAATATTAATACTACTATTTTTCGCCTGAAGATTGGGGTTAACGGAATCCAGAGTCTTCGGTGTCTATGAGTGGTCGCACAAAATTATATCAAACGACTGCAGTATGATTCCAAGGTTTGGTCAAGGTTTTATTCAAAAAACATCCACATATCTTATTACTCACCATAGATTTCACATACGTTGACAGTTTGACAAGCCGTGGCAAAACGGACTGTAAGCTCTGTGAAATAGCGGCGTGCTTTGCTTGAACGTAATGACACATTACGTCTAACATCACCAAAAGCAAGTCTTTATTGTCGTAATCCAGTGCCTCAATTACTAAAGGCGATACCTAAAGCATAAACAAATTTTATATCTGTTTTCTAACAATTGTAGTTGATAGATGAAATATAGTTTTCATCGTAACAGCGTTCTATTAATCGATTAAACGGTCGCTTACCCGATTAGCTTCATTGTTTAGAATGCTTCTCGGAGTCTTCCCTAAAATGTGCGCCCAACTCAACAGGTAACTCTCCTTCACATCCGGGCTCAAAGGACCAACTTTCCCCGTTATGCTGGAAAACGACTGGAACATTCGCTGCATGTAGAACGGGCTTATTCTGCAATGCTGCCTCGCGTTCAGATGATCGGGGAAGTCCGTAACGACCAGCCGAATTGCGTCCGCACCGGACTTACTGAACTCTTCGTTCGTTATCGCGACGAGAATCTAAAAACGTTTTACATTTTATTTCAACGAGTACTGAATACAAGAGTGTACAGGGCTACAGGCCTCAGCTGAACTAGGACGTTTACCATGTAGCTACAAGGCCATTTGGCCAGTCGGGTTTCTAGTCAACAATAACAGTTCGAGTTTATATTTAATTAAAACAGATATTTTAAGATCCATCCCATCTTTTTTTGGTTAAGAAATATCTAAAATATGTTTTTTGAGAAAGGGAGTAGATATAATAAAAAAAAGCCACAATCAGAAGTGTTTTTGTAATTTCACCACCTCTTTGATTTGTGAGAACAAGGGCAAATTGTATAGTTGTTTAACTCCGGTAAAATAGTTCACACTTCCGTATACTAAAGACGCTTTACATACAAACAATTTGCGCACCACCATTACATCCAGGAAATATATTATTACGTCAAGCAAATACTAATCCAAGGAAATCGAAACGATCAACGATGCTTAGCGAAAGGAGCAACCAAGTTACAAAAATCGAAGAAACTCCCAAAAGGTTACGGGACACTGACCTTCTGCAGCCAAAACAGGAACTGATCACAACTCCTCAGTACCAGCGCTTTGGTAATCCAACCGTACAGCTGGATCAGCCTAGGGCACAGCGACATATCGTCGCGCCTGCAAGACGATAGGTAGTCCTTCAACAGTTCGTATAGCAGCTCGAAGCTCTGTCCATACTTGGCTTTGTTGAGAAAGTGCGCTATTAGCATGCACGCTCTCTCCCTCACGGCGGCAAACTCGGCGTTCAGCGACAGTTTAAGCGACAGCCTCATCACGTCCTCATTGCCCACGTCTACACTTTGTTGGATCGACGAGTACAAGCTCTCGACGATTAGGAATATGCGCTCGTTCGTTCCGCACTTTTGTTGCAGACCACTCGAGTACTTCGACAGTATGTTTTTCTGCTTCAGCGGCGGCAAACTGCTGACCGTGTTAGCTATTAACGAGTAACCGTGGGTCCAACGTCTCGTTGTCCCCCGCTTCGATCTCCCCGAGCAGCCAATTCACCACGGAGTCTATCAGACCGTGGTCGCTCTCGATCTGAGTGATCTTCTCGTCTGAGTACAGACTAGAGTCGGACATGGAACGGTTGAGAGCTTCTACCACCTTTAAAGCGCTGTTGTAGTTAATCGGTATTATCTTCAACATCTCCTCGATGATCACTTTAGTGAAGTCGTCTATACTGGCCAAGCTGGACAGCAGCTCTAGGCGCTTGTTCAGAGTGGACTTGTCCTCTATCAGGTTGTCCAGGTCGCATTTGCCCTTGACCACGAGGCTCATCACGATCTCCGGGTGGTTCCTCGCTATCGCGTGGACGGTTTCCACGCTGACCCTCAGCAGGTCGCCGTCGTTCGAGTGCTGCACGTTGTGGACCAGCACCTCGACGAACGGCACCACAAGATCGCTCTTCAGGCTGCCCATCGCCCGCACCAGGGTCCTGAAGCCGGCGATCTGGTACTCCTTCGCCGGCTGGCTGACGGCCAACAGGCACAGCTGCGGTATCTCACTCACTGCCTCGAGCATCGCCACGACGTTCCATCGCACCGCCAATTCGTAGAGGTCGGCCAGGAATTCCAGGCTGGCCGTTTGCAGTTTGGGTGACGTTTTGAACTCGTAGTACGCCCCGATGGCCGGTATCATCGATTTGGCCACTATGTAGCACGACTCCTTCGACGCGTTCGCGGTCGTAAGCAGTATTCTGGAACATTGCACGAACTGCGACACCGTCGTCGCACTGGCTAAAGCCGTTTGGCTGGATATCAGAACGCCCTTAACGAAATTCTCGAACTCCTGGTCTGTATTCGCTGTAGTCGACAGCTTAGCGACCAAGGCAGAGAGTGCTTCGTGCGCGGCCATCTTGAGTTCGCCGTCTGTTTTGTTTGTCATCTCTCTGTGCATGGAGGACCACAGCGTCTTCAAAAACGGGCGGTAGCTCGCGGGCGTGAATGTTTTGCAACTCTCGGCCTGAAAGTATGATGACATTTAAGTTATTAAAGTGTGATGACATTTATCTTATTGAATTATTGGTGAGTGATGTTTCGTTGTCAATAAATTGGTGCTTATGAAATAATTAAGTGGTATAATGATGGAAAGGAGGCCTCACGAGTTTTTTTTATATGTGGAAATGAGCTGACAGTTCACCTGATATTAAGGAGAACCCTTGACCTTGCCCTTGACCTTGATATACCCTTTACTAGTAGGCCCGACATGAGGACAAGCGTGTATTAAAAAAACAGGGAATAGGCGGCTACTGGCCGTCGGTCCTAATGCGAACTGCTCCGGCAATGCACTAATTGTCTGCTCTGCCTGGCTCGAGGAAGCGGACGGGTCAGGTCGGATTGCGTCTGGTTTGAGAGAGTGATCTCTATTCCGTATTAAACAAAGGATGAACTTATGTTTTTACAAATTAATAATCCTAATATTATTGATACATAGCTAAGAAAATACTGCATTATATACATTTATACTGCATTGGTAAGCACATATATACAAACATGCATAGGTATATATTTATACAAACCAATACATTTTACACATATTCCCATTTTCCAGAGGGGACAAAGATTATAGACTTCTACTTTCTGCAATTCTTTTACAGACACTACACTACTGTTGATTCTTTCACATACATCATCATCACTTGTGTGTCTTCCTTACATGATTTATTATACAAATATATAGATAATACTTACCAACAACATAAGTGAGTCAAGTTTGGCAACTTTCAAACTTGAGTCCAACTTTTCTACCAGCAGCACTAAGCAATATTCAGCAAACTCCGGTATGGCACAAAGGCACGGTATTAAAGCGGTTGCCAAATCCTGCCTAGTTACAGGTGCAGGATCATTTGGTGATGGATGGAAGTCAATTGGGTAGTAACATGATATCACATCAAACATCTCCTCTGTTAAGTGACCCAAGGCTATATTTGTCAGGAAATGGGGCATAAAATTAAACAGGAAGAGCAAATTACGTGGATCTCTCTCTCCTTCGATAGATGATATAACTCCATAAACAAAATCTGGACCAAGTGATTTCATATCTGAAAAAAATTATGAAATATCTTGTACAATTATTTGCCATGGTGTTTCTACTGGGCTATATTATTAATTATACTTACATTCAACATTTCTATTCAGTAGCTTTTGTATTATTAAATAAATATGATATCTGTCTTGTCTCACTTGTGACTGACATGGGACCTCCCTGAACAATGTTGAGAAGAACTCTCCAGAATTTTGGACAGAGTAATTTTTCATGTCAATTATTGCTAAATAACCATCTAAAACTGCTGGTATGACTTTGTGATTATCTTTCAACCGATCTGTATAGAATTTTGATATGAAGTTTATTTGCATTTCTGTTAAATAATCTTTTGGTATTTCTTTTAAAAGTTTTGTAAAAAATCTCATTCCCTTTTCTCTATTATCAACTTCTTTGCTAGTTAAAACTCCAGCCATATTTTCAACAATCTTTGTGATATCCAAACGATCAGATATGATATCTGTAATAAAAAATATATTCATAAAAGGGAATGCATAAACTACTCTTTAAGAAATAAACCAGTTAACAATAAAATCACCAGTAATAATATTTTGTGTTTGTTCAATAAAATCGGAATTTTGAATGATTTCATCAGCCAATTGGGGTTTAAACCAAATTGATGCCATTTCGTAATTTATTAATAACAAAATAATTAATAGACTTTTGAGTACTATAAAAGTATCACGAAATTGAAAATGTCTTTGGAGAATAAACTTGAGCTTGATACACCAAACGAAAACAATGAAATGATAAAACGGCAGATTTTTATTTATTGATTTAAATTATAAAGTTATAAAGTAAACTATAAAAAAACAAACTATGAAATGGGGTTATATTTACAATTTTAAAATAAATTCAATCAAACTTAGTTGTAGCATTGGGTCCATACAGCCATAACTGTCATAATCCATAATGGACAATTGCGTCAATTATACAGTTTTCTATTTGTTTTAAAAAAATTGTTTTAGCAACAAGTATTTTTTTTGTTCATAATTATTATAAAACTGAGTTTTCATGAACAAAAAAAAAAGACAGTTGCTATTTTTTATAATTTAAATAAAACTCGTTAACTGCTAACATGGTCAGCAGCAGATTTATATATTTCAGATATGTAAAAGGTATACTCTTTGGTCAGCAGTTTACCGCCGTAAGAAGAAAACTTACTGCCAAGGTACTCGAATGGCCTATTACAAAAATGTGAAACGAAAAAGCTCCTCTTCTTAATTCCCGGGAGCTTGTACTCATCGATCCACCAAAGCATAGATGCGAGCATCGAGGAAGTGATAAAGCTGTCACTTCAGCATTTGCTGAACCCTGAGCTTGCCGCTCTGAGAAAGAAATCGTGCATGCTGATAGCACACTTTCTCAACAAAGCCGAGTAAGCACAGATATATAATATACATAAACCTTTTCTACATGTTTTAATGTTCAATCTTAAGTGCAGAGATTAGCACTATAAAAAACTTTAAAAACACATAAACGTTCCTCTTGAATCACTCTATCTAGTAAAAAAAACGCATCAAGATCCGTTGTGTAGTTTTAAAGACCTAAGGGATAGACAGACAGCGGGACGACTTTGTTTTATACTATGTTGTGATATTTTTGAGAATGGGTAACATTGAATCAAAGTAGGGATGTGCAAGTAAAAAAAATATATCGATATTTTTAAAAACTATCGATAATTATCGAGTGACAAATATCGATGTAACGATATTTTTTTAAGGTTTTTTTTAGTATTTATATTTCCAAACCATTCAAAATTCGTGAAAAATAATAGACATGAAAAAAAGCGGAATATTCAACTCAATCAAATTACAATTTATTCGAATCAACAGTCATCTGATATGGACATTAGGAGCACCCTCTGTTTAATGTTGAATGACAGGGGCAAACGGCTTCTAGTGTGGGTACTGTCAGATTTACAGTTTAAGCAACTCTTTCTGAAGAAACAGTAGAAGCCTGGCAAATCAGAGCACTTAAGGGGGACTTTGAATTTGACTTCTTTTTAAGGAGTTTTTTTTTTTTGTAAATTTATTAATTTGTAATTGTATAAAATTGTAAAAGATTAATCAGTCAAACGATTTTGACTCAATGAACATCGCAGCGTTAGAGAAAATCATGCAAACAGACATTACTATTGGCTTAAAGGTCTTGTTATCAGGCCATTTATAATCTTTATTAAAAAAAAGTATTATCGTGCACGCACATAATAACAACACCAAAACAGAATTGCGTTAAAAAATATCGAAATTGACAAGAATTCGATAGTCGAAAATAAATATCGCATATAGATATATCGAGAATAAAAATATTGACGATACATATCCATATTTATTTGGAAAAATATCGATATTTTGCCCATGCCTAAAAGTAAGTGACAGAACTGATACTGACTGACTGACAGCTTGTTAAATTCCCTTTTCTTTGGTAAAATTTTTATTAATATGATGAAATTATGTTAAACATTTTAAAGCCAGTGCTTGTAACAAGGTTTTTAATTAGATCTAATTTGGATTAACCTTAAATTGTTGGAATCAAACAGTTTTTATAAAATGTCGCATAAAACTCTTATCGACTTTGTGGTTAAATACCATAAACCAAGATTATTAAACAGCCTAGTGTTTTTTCCTAGCAACGGAAACTCTTATTTTGGAAGACGACTCTTTATACCAGTCCCGTTATCTACTTCAACTCCAAGGGTTCAGTCACCAAGAAACTATAGCACAACCATAGCAAATATAAATGATACTTCCGAAAATAAAGAAGCTAAGAAGTTCGAAGGGAAATTTCAGTTAATGTTTACATGCAAGAAATGTAACGTTAGAAATACTAAGCTCATTACGAAGTTGGCTTATTACAAAGGTGTTGTAATAGTTATATGTGATGGATGTGAAAACAAACACCTCATTGCAGATAACCTTAATTGGTTCTCAGATATGAATGGAAAGAAAAATATTGAGGATATCATGGCAGAAAAGGGAGAGACCGTACAGAAAATCATGTCAAGTGACTTAGAATATATTGCAAGAGAGATAATAGTGGAAAAAACAGAAATACCAAAATTACAAGGTTAAATATTAAGTCATAAAATTAGTTAAATAAATATCATAAGTGGTTAGGTATGATTTTGTGTTAGAGAGTGATTTTTATGCTTAATAAATTAAACGAATGGGTATGGCATGTATGAATAATGTAAATATTAAATTGTTGTAACACAATATTTTTTCATTACTTGAAATTAAAAAAAAATCTTTTTATGTTTTTGCCCCTATCAGGTTAAACTAATGGCTTCCCACGATTATTATTTTCCAAATAAAAAACCTCTCAGATCATTGACATCAGTGATGATCAACACAACACATTACACTGATTTGCAATAAAAATATAACTTTCTGAGAGTGATTATGTTAGCAATACACCTGACAGCTTTTTTAATAAAAGAATAACTGTGTTGATTAGCAAAAACTAATTAGATTGGGTAATAAAACATGTTACAATAAAAACTACAATATGTTTTGTAATATGGCAGACCTATATTACAAGAATGAAATAAAATAATGCAGTACATTAAATTCATAATAGATGTTTCAATATCACTTGATTTATGATCACATTAAGTTAATGCAAAAAATTTATGAACAAGTTTATGTTTTAGGGTAGGTTATGAGTAGTGATTTAAAGAAAAAGAAAAAACTCATAATCAGTATTATTTTTGTGTACCTCTTATAATGCTTGTAAAAGTTAATAACATCCTATATATTGCACCAGTAGGAAAAGACATTTCGAGGCCTTTTCCCCGTAGTGCTCAGCACAACCGAGGGTATAAGGGTCTACCACATAACCTCACTGCGGATTTACAATTGGCATATTTTTGAGCATTGGCAATTGGCACTTAAAACTGCAATCATCAACTTCATTGGTGCTGGCACCGGGATTTTAACTTTGTTTCCTTGACTTTACTGAATTAAACCGAGCTCTTGTGACTCAGATTAAAATTTATTAATTGCATAAAAATAAGCATTCCTAACCAACATAGACCATAAGTACAAAAAGAGAAGAAAAAATATGTATACAATTTGATTAATGTATTTATTGAAAATTAATGGGGATATTTATTTTTTCTTAAAATTGAGGAAACTTCAATATTTCTTACAATACCATATCATTAGAAATCTCAAGTATATTATTTTTTATTGTTGGTATTGCTAAGTTAAAACATTTTTTTTTTAAAATAATATTTTAAAAAATTACAAAATTACATAGATTTTATTGTACTGTTATATTGGCACCATATGGTAATTTTACTTACAATTAAAATTATACTATAGATGAAAGTTTCATGATTAATTGTTATGTGCAAACTGATTTTTTTTGACATCCAGCTGTAATATTTATTGAATACTTAGTTTATGGAATTGGTAACTTCTCTCTTTCTAAGATCTTTAAAGGTATCAATTAACACATAACAACCATCAACTTATATGTAATATGCAATAAACATAAGGCACTGTTTAATCACAGTCTAAAATATTGTTATTGAATCTCTAAATTTTTTTTGCATAAAAGTGTATAAACATGAATGCAAATTCATTATATCTAAGAACATCCCTAATAAATGTATGGAATGCAAGAAATGTTTCAATTACTGAATCACTATCACTAACAACACAAAACTACAAAATAATTGAATACATACGTAGCATATATCCTATAATACCATAAGGAAAACTTAATTTAATGTGGAATGATTAAAATGGATATTTCTTTTAAAAACTAATCTTATGATTATAATTACATGTAAACATGTGTATTGGAAATGTACATTAAAACGTTTCTGAAAATTGTAAATATAAATAATTACAAATTCTCATATGAAGCACCTATTACATTAATCACTGTTCAAAAATGCACCCTTAGACATGGCACATTATAAAACTGTTAAAACTACTCCTTAACATTTTCAATAAAGTATTAATTTTTCATGAATGCTAAAATAAACTATAATTCAGGGTTTTTAAATAAAATAAAAATCTACAAAAAAATATGCAAGATACTATTTTACCAGTTTTAGATTACTCCAGGGTAATACATAAGAATGCAGGGTTTAGAAAATGGAGAACAATGGATTACTAAAATCAGTTTCTCTCCATTTCACAAACAAAATTCCATCATAATGATCTTCATTTCAGTAGTAAGATATGTTAAATTTCAGTATGGTTTAGTACAGTACAGTATGATATGTATTTCAGTGGATCTAAATTGTTACCAATTGAATATTAAGGATTATTAAACACCCCATCACAGATTTTCACTCACTTGTATTTCAAGGGTTCAAACACTTGCTGAAATAATGTTTCATTCACAATCCTACTAAAACATACTTAAAAATGTCACAAGAATTGTTTGATACTTAAAATCAACAACTACACATTGTACATAAAGAAGCAAATAATTGAATTATAGGTCTCTCTGTTACAATAGTATATCAATTAATCATATTGTACATCAAACAAGCCAAACTTTATTATTTGAAATTATTTAGTCATTTCAACAATGCATATTAACTATTTTTTATACAAGCATCAACCAGTAAAAGTGAAATTATGTTTGCTTGCAAATATGTACTTACATCACCAAAATATAATCTAAAGGTTGGCATTGCCTGGTGACAAATTTCATAATATGGTAAAACTTATGCTTAAAAGTTTAACATTTTATAATACTTTCAGTGTTAATGATAACAAGTCAAACAATCCTTTTAGGTCAATATTCTAGAGCCAATAGGAATCTCTACTTAATAAATTTGCTGTAAAATTTCAGTCTTTTTAAACCTTCATAACATGTAAAATAAAAATTTCATACCCTTTTTGGACGGCTTACAATTGCATAGTCTGTACCATTCAAATTGTTATGGTTGATTTCCTCCAAACCTACCTGATTCTGTAAAGCTTGAACCTGGGCCGCAGTAGGCACTTGTGGCCCAGGTGTGTTTGGTTTCCGAATCATACCATAGCCCAAATGAGAGTCATCCGCTAATCTGGCTGTCTGCATGACATTTTCAACTTCATCATAATCATTCCATGTGTCCTTATTCTTTGGCTCGCTAAGGGCTAATGTTGTCGGACGAGCCTCTACTTTTTTGTAGCGGGAAGACTTATTTAATTTACTAGTTGATCCAAAGTATTGCAATCTGTCATAGTTCTCATCTTCTGGACTAAGTGGTAAAAGTATGATTCTTGAAGATTCTGGTCCGGTGCTGTTCAAATTATCCTGAGATCTTGATATAAGTTTCATGCAGTTAGGGTTATCTGCTAAATTTGGAGTAAATTCAGTGTGATCTGGATCATCAATACCTAAGGTTTTCCATGCTTCACTACGTACTTCGACTTTGTCATATGGCACTAATGGCTGACTTTGAGGTTTACCTTGATCAATTGTCTCATAATTTTCAAGTTTTTTATATCTGCCAAAGTCAATGCTTTCATCAGTTGAAGATAGTGGGTCCTTATTAATAGGTTTATGGATATTAATAATTTTACGAGGAGGCTTCTGTGGCTTGGGTTTAAGCGCTGGTTTTGGCATGAGTAAAGGTGCTGTGTCTCTTTCAGATACTGAAGTCTGTTGACTCGATACAGAGCTAGTTTTGAATGACAAAGAGCTGAGATTTAAATCATCAGGCCTTGCAGCAACTAAGGGGCTTCTAGATCCAGGGAATAAATTTGCATTTGGCTGTATATTGAATTCAGTATGCTCTGGACTGTTCATGCTTTCATTACCAATTGATTGCTTCATAGTTTTCATTTTAAGCGAAAGGCATTTGAAAATTTCCGATTGGTTAGGATGCTCCAAATGGAAAATACCTTCTCCAGTGTCACATTTTCTTCCAGCTTCAAATGTAAACTTACCCTGTCTGTAGCCATAACGCCTTATATATCGGTATGGCCATGTCGCATATAGCTTGTTATCATTTAAGTCCCTGAGATCTATTGACGTTGATGTGAGTAACAGAAGGTATCTAATTGGTTCTAAGCCACACCTGGTTGATGCCTCAGACTGACACATTTTAACTGAGAAGACACCTTCTCCTGATGAACAGTACAGATCATTATCTTCATCACAACTTATTGGAATAGAATCTGTACTCTTAAAAGCGACTGACTGGAGAGCTGTGACCCATTCTAAAGTTTCTGTTTCTGATTGGGTGCTCACTTGCTGAGTGATTGACTTAGTTAATATGGTAATAGTGTTAGGACTAGAATGTGTTATTTTAATGCAGTTTTCAAGGGTTATTATTTTGGGTATAGATCCTAACGAAACATCTTCCTTGTTTTCATAAATTTCCAACCTTTCTATACCCTGTTTACTAGCGTTAAAAAGTATGCAGTACTTCTGTTGCCAATTTTTCTGAAAATAGAAATATCATTTGTGAATTATGAACAATTATAACTTTACCTACGGTTCTCGGCCTTAGACGTAAAATTACACAATACTACAAGAAACACACGTAGTAATAAACACGCGACAAAACAAGTTCTCCACTACCTACCCTTCCTGACTCATTTAGAAAGTGCTTGAACTTTTTAAGACACATATGTGAATTTCATTAATTGCATGTTAAATCACTGTATTTACTACTAATTAGGCAATACAACTTGTAAAAACATATTATTATTCATATAATATTGACGACATTCAATGTACCTTCTTCGGAAATTTACTGAACATATTTCCCCCGGCAGGAGGAAATAATAAACAACCGGATTTAATCTCGTCGTCCTGCTCCATTATAGGCTTGTAAAGTTATTGTCAGGTTAGCAAACTATGTTCAAACTGATTGCAACAGCATATCCTATACCGAGAAAACATTAACGTATCATTGATAATTTACAACAAAATGCATTCACACGAACAAAAAATAAAGGTTGGATGACAGGAGTCAGGATTGCAATTAGTGTTGTACTATAGAGAAAGGTCAATTAAAACATTAACAGACAATCAACATTTGGAGAAAAGTTCGTTTTATTTGCCGCATATAGAAATGAATCTACATAAAATATGTATTCGTGTATGAGACAAAATTAAATTTAAACTTATTTAACATTACAGCTCCCACACACGAACGACAAGTAAAATGATACTAAGGCGCATTTTTTGCCTGATGCTGGCAAACAACACGTTACTGCCCTTAATCGATGTCTAGTATAATAAAACTAGTTACATGCAAAGTTAATTTACACAAAAGGCCATTTTTACTAACGAAAAACAAAACCAACTTCAAATATCTCGCTCTGTATTTATTTTGTAATTGATTTTCATGAGTTTCCTAAGTAACTCCGGAGCCCAAGATCCAATACCAGTCGAAAGTTATATGGTAGTAAACATAAAAAAAAAAATACATTGGAATTGAGAACCTCCTCTTTTGAAGTTGGTTGAAAATTTGTTTCTCGCACATAATGAGTCGAGGATAACTTAAATTTTCAGTTTCAACATAAAAAGCTGTTACTTAACAAATTCTTGATATTATATATAAATTTAAAACCCACCCTACACTCTTGTAGGTAAGTTACGGATAAGAAATTAATTCCTGCACCAAAACTTCCTAAATACGCTATAGCTACATGTTTACAAGTTTAGGATCTTCTTGAAATTGCTTTGTGATTTGGTTAGTTTTTAGGAATAGTAAACAAACACTTAATTCTTTTATTGTAATCTCAGTTCGTGCAAAAGCATTATAGGAACTTTTAGGAAACCTTACTTACCTTACGTGTAATAGCGGGTTCCATTTTCAGTTTCTTAAAGTAAATTCTGTACAATGGCAACTAATTGAAGCTGAGATTGTGACTGAATGCGGCTTTTTTAATATGAATGGGTGGTAAGTGCGCTTTCGTTTCACCTAATCTTAAGTGATTACCGCTGCCTATGAACATTCGCAACACCAATAGGGTTGCAGATGCGTTGCTACCATTTAATAAGGTAGGCTCCACTTGCAAAACGAAACGCAGAAGTCCGGACGGGCCTACCCATTCGTGCACCAGTGAAGACTTTTGCGTGACCCTACCACAGAAACTGGCTTAGGTAAAAGTGGGAATATTCTGTGAATACCAATCATTACCACCAACTTCCCATTCCAATTTAAGCGTACACAATTTCTAGCAACAGCTTGCTTCGTGATGACTAATAAGTATCAGGGACAAACCCTAAAGGCAGTTGGTGATGACTTAAGATCTATTTTTCCCAGGCAACAAGGCAAACCCATGAATGTGGTATATAGTGACATATTTTTATTATCCGTCTTTCTGATAGAATGTTATGTCTTCAGCCTTTTATAAGCAGGCGTAGATGCGAGTAGCAGCTACAGTTGGCTACAGTTTGTTGTAGGCATGGGCAACATATATCAATATATAAAAGTATCGATATTTTTCCAAATAAATATCGATAAATATCGTCGATGTTTTTATTCCCGATATATCGATGTTCGATATTTATTTTCGACTATCGAATTCGTATCAATTTCGATATATTTTTTAACGCAACCTAAAAAATATTAACCATCGCGACAATAAATGAACACACGTCTAACGCTACTTGCCAATAATCATAAAAAAAATATTAACGTTAAACAAAATCCATAATTAAAAAAATATATTTTTCAAACAAACTAATTAAGTAAAAAAGAAACAAAATTTGTAACATCCTATACAACTCGCGCCACAGCGTCTTATTACAAGCCTCTCCTTCTAACAGTATGTTTTGTCTCTTTTAAATTCATTCAAAAACCCATTCATATGCTTTGTGACCTTTACAAATGAACTTTACGTTACGCTTTTATAGGTAAGGGTGTTCTAAAATTCTTTGTTTTGGAAAATTTAATAACTTTGGAAATATTGATGTTTAAAGAATTTAAATGTTTAATACAACTTTAAAAAGTTATCCCCTATATGTGTCTTCATTTATTGTCGCGATGGTAACGACACGCTGTATAGCCTGGTTACATGACCTTTAAGCCAATACCATGAAAATGCTAATTACAAATACTATTAAACCATCAGTATGAGATGTGTATGACCCTGAAGTTAACAATTTTCGGTTCTTTATTGCAACCAATCGAAAAAGAAAAAAATTGCACATGTAGTAATTTAAAAACTCTAAGTACATTTTTTATATATTTTCTTTTATGATTTATCGTTGGAAAAAGTTTCAAATATTATTAGACGTCGGTTAATTTCAGTATCATGAGAAGTTGATGAACTAATTAAATTCTTCAACTATTTAGCCTGATACTTATGTCAGTTTGCATGCTTTTATTTAACGCTGTGACGTTCAATGAGTCCAAATCGTTTGCGTTCTGACTGATTATTATTTTACAATTTTAAACAATTACAAATTAATAAAATTACAAATATAAAACACCTTAAAAAGCAATTCAAAAGTCACCCTTAAGTATCTAATTTGCCAGGCTTCGTCGGTGTCTTCAGAAAGACTTGCTTCAGCTGTGAATCTGACAATACCCAACAATAGATTCCGTTTGACAGCAAAGCACATTAAACAGAGGGTGCTCCTAATGTCCGTATCAGATGATTATTGGTTCGATTAAATTGTATTTGATTCGATCGATTATTAATAAATATTACTTTTTTACGAATTTTGAATGGTTTGGAAATATAAATAATTAAAAAAAATTAAAAATTTATATCGATATTTTTCACTCGATAATTATCGATAGTTTTTTAAAATGGCGATACGATAAATGTCGATATATTTTTTTTACTTCGTCCCTAGTTTGTTGTTTAACAGACTGTAGCATATCAATATTTTTGTCCATGCCTAGTGTCAAATTTAGTCTAATTCTTAGATTGTCAATTTGTCAAAGTCAAACTCAAAACCATATTTACTTTGATTTAAAACCGGTCGAAAGTGCTCAAAAACATAGTTGTTTCAGAATATATATACCATTTTATTGTTATTGTAGTTTTAGTAACATCAGCGTTATGTCAAATAATATTAATCCTTTAGCAGGGACGGCGCATTTACTCGATGAATTAGATAGTATGTTGATCTGTTAGTATGTATGCTACTATTTTTTTTAACCCCTATCATTTTTATGAAAGCGTCGTTTTTTCATAAAGAGAAACTCATGGTACTGCTTCGAGATGGAAGAACCCTAATCGGATACTTACGCTGCGTGGATCAATTCGCAAATCTCGTCTTACACAAGACTATAGAAAGAATTCATGTCGGAAGAGAGTATGGCGACATACCAAGAGGAATTTTTATCGTTAGAGGTGAAAACGTCGTACTTTTAGGAGAAATTGTAAGTAAATAATTTATGAAACGATAAACCCCAGCGCTAAATAATGTAAAAACTAATATATTAATAGTTACATGAAACAGGATCATCATCATTTCAGCCTGTTTGAGTCCACTGCTGAACATAGGCCTCCCCCACAGACTGCCATAAAGTATGATCCTGAGCCACCTGCATCCATCGACTTCCCGCACATTTGCACAGGTCGTCACTCCATCTAGTGGGGGGACGTCCTACACTGCGATGGCCAGTACGAGGCTGCCACTCGAGAATCTTTCTTCCCCAACGGTTATCGGTTCTACGAGCTATATGGCCGGCCCATCGCCACTTCAGTTTGTTAATCCTCTGAGCTATATCGGTTATCTTGGTTTTACTGCGGATGTCTTAGTTACGAACTCTATCATGCAGAGAAATACCGAGCATAGCCCGCTCCATAGTTCACTGAGCTACTTTGAGCTTCCTCATACGGCCAGCAGTGAAGGATCATGTCTAGGTTCCGTAGGTCATCACTGGCAACAGGATAATTGATAATATTTTATTTTTATTTATTTCAAATGAACCAAGAAATTGGGGTAGTTTTATGGGTAAATGTAAATAAAAAAAACTCTGGCGTAATTCGATTAAAATAAATTTTAAACGATAGAGAAAAGTCACTAATGAATTTATCAACAAGCAGAATTCGGCGGTTGCTTATAGTTTTCGAAAAAATAAATAATGAAATAGTGCGATTTTTATTACAGAAATCCGCCATTTTTTTGTTGTCAATATGTCAATTCTGGTCGTATTTCTTGGTGGTCATAAAAAATATATGACCACCAAGAAATAACCGAATCTATCCGAGTCGGATTCGCTCTGTGTCGGTTCTGTGACGCATAAAATTAAAAAAAATCGGACTATCGATACGAGTATGATGTCGCCCACTCCCTATATTTATCATGTTGGCGGCAGAACTGTGTATTGAGTTTTTGAAGTGAAATTAATAAAATGGTGGATTTCTTAGCAAAAATAACAAGCTTTAAATATTTTTTTCTCGAAAACTATAAGCGACCGCCGAATTCTGCATGTTGATTAATTTGTCTATTGTTTAAAATTTATTTTAATCGAATTACGGAAAAGTTAAAGTTATTTACATTTGCCGTTTTATGTTTTATCATAAATTCTAAGAATTCTTATTTCTTATAAATTCTTTAAAACAATATCTATACATGTAATGTTCGTCAAATTCTACATTTAGCAACACTTTTGTTTTCACTTACAAATATTTTTAAATATAAAGCAAATTGAATATTAAAGATTAAAATTTTACACTAATAGAATCTGCCATATTGTAATCACATTTTTATTTTGACAAAAACTTATTTCACCTAACACAACTTATTACTTAATAACTTATCACTACAACTTATTTCACATAACCTACAAGTTCGATGACAATATGACAATATTTCAATTCTACTTACATTTAAATATATTAATTTAATTTTTTAATTTATATTGAATTATGAAATCAAACTGATGGGTTATTTTTGTGAGGTGCACTTTCTTATATATCAAGGGACATTGCAAAGCATGGTGACATAACAATGTCACCCAGGACTTTTATTATCAATTTCAATTAAGTCAAAACAATGTTTAACATAAATGAAAGTGTCTCTAATTTAGAATTCTAATTTAATACTATCCATATATCATCTACAGAGATAATTCAGTTTGCAGAAATCTTGGAATGCACTAAAAGTTCTTATTAAGTTGACCTATGTTATCTATATGTGGACTTGATCTTCGATTGTATGTTTACAATCATTAGAGATCATTCGGAGATATATTTGTATAATTTAGATGCTACACATTATTGATTGGGATGTTTGTTTATTTCCTTAAATATTATCTGTACTAGAAAGCACATACTGGTTTTTTTATGTGAGATTGTGGCAAGCTTGTGGTTCACCTGGTGTTAAGTGATAACAACTGACCATGAACATTTGCAACAACGATAGGGTTGCAGTTGCAAAGTCATCTTATAATGAAGTGGGCTCAGGTTGCACCCCTTGCACATGAAACCCAGAAGTGTAACACTTCCAGGTCATGTGGGTCTTCTGTGGTACTTTCCCGGATGGATATGCCCATTCATGCTACAATGAAGACTGTTGCATGCCCCTACCACTGTTAAATACCTATACTGTACCACATTTCCTGCAATTAACTATGACTTATCGCCCCATTTTCAGTAAAATGTGGTTTGATTCATAATTATAAATTGAATGTTATGTTCTAGACAGGCTCACAGGTTCTTTGGATTGAATTTAAAATAACAATGATTTATTTATACATGGGTCACTTTATTTCTTTAATACTTAACACAATTAGAAACATCACTGCACGGATAAATCATTATATTTTATAATTTTTGTGGTCTAATGGAGTGTTAAGTACAGTTTAAATTATTAGTTTATTCTAATTTAGCAAGTGATGAAAGGTTTCCTATGTTTATCCGTAAAAAGTTAAAAGAAGATGACCATAATTGTCTTTTTTTTGAAAATCTAACATGTGAATTGTGGTATACAAATACAAATTTCACATGGATAAACACCTCAACACAGACTCGTAAAAAATATCTTAAAGAAAGACAAATGTTTGTCCCATGAGGAATGGAACCTATGACCAACGACACTAAACCCAGTGGCTTAACAACTGTGCCCACAAATCAAATCCATCAATCTCAGTCCATAATTAAATTGACTTAACATTGTCACACATAACAAAAATTTTACAAATTTATATATAAAGTTAATATTTTTCAGGATAAAGATAAAGAAGATAATTTACCCCTGAGAGAGGTGTCAGTTGATGATATTCTTGATGCACAAAGAAGGGAACAAGATGCTAAAATAGAACAACAAAAGTTACTGTCCAAGTCATTAAAAGAAAGGGGTCTCAATTTATTGGCAGATCTAGGTCATGATGATATGTTTTAAATTTAATAAATGATATTTATTTTTATTTTCCTTTCCTGGATTATTATAAGACTTTCACAATTTATCATGATGTATAAAAAGTATTGGTTGTCTTAATGGTAAATACATTCACATATTATAAGTTGTAATCTATTTTTATTACTACTAATTTGCTACTGTGGATATTTAACTGTCCTAAAAATCATGTTGTTTAAACTATTGTGTCCAATTGAAATCCAAGTTAGAAAAGAACACAAGTTAATCTGTGCCTTTTCCCATTCTTCAAAGAACAGAAATATAAATCTAAAAAATATAAATATCTTTGTTGTTATTATTCAAAAGTTAAACAGTTTGTTTATACACAATAATTGTTAAAAAATAGATGTCTTCACATGTGTTATTCGATTACTGAATAATGTTAGATACATTGTATAACATATTGTACTATGCTCTGAAGTGTACTTAACGATCAAAAAATTGTAATAAAAAAGAAAGTGTATTTTTTGTGTCAAGTGTGGTTTGCTGTTTAGTCCGGCTTTTACAGCTTCGTTGAAGGTGGAAGAGGTCCGCGGGCAGACTGGTACACAACACAACGGTGCACCCTGCTAACGAGAAATGGACAACCCACAAACAGGGCAAGGAGGGGGGGACACGACTCGATATAAGGTCACTTCTAATGGAGGCTCCAACTTCGGCTTCGATCGCACGGACAGGATTGGATTTACCCAGAGAAAGAAGGCTTTAGTAGGCGACGTGTTGGCCTAAGTCGAGTTTTTTTCGTGACAAATCAGCAATTACACAATACGCGGTCAACATTATTTACGTGAGGAGGCTCGAATTCTTCAGAATCTTAGATAAGAAAGCCAGTATGGCATCGATTTCAGACATCGATCTCATCGTACACAACATCGGACGTGGTCGCTCATAGTTTAAATAGTTAAGTAATTTACAACTTTTTTCGGGTAATCCCGAAAAAAGTTGACACTTTTGGAAATAAAAATTGAAAAACAATCTTCAATACTTTCCCTATGCCTAATGTTTTAGACATTTACATAGGTAAGATCAGGAGATGCCAATATTTCACTACCTTTTTCTGTTCACTACCGTTTTTTGTTACACAAAACTTTCTACTGCGTGAATCGATTTTGATGATTCTTTTTTTTTATTTGAAAGCTGGTGCTTCCCATGGTGGTCCCTTACAATTTCTTTGGTATTGAATCTTGGACTCCGGAGATACTTAGAGGAATCCTGAATCAAGTACAAAGTACAAAACAAAGTCTTCTGCTGTCTGTCTGTCCCTATGTATGCTTAGATCTTTAAAAAAAATGCATCACTAGATAGAGTGATTCAAGACGAAGGTTTATATGTATAATACATTGCACCCGTGCGAAGCCGGGCGGGTCGGTAGTCAATTAGATGACTCCGTGGCGCCGTTGCCAAGGTATTGGCTTCGGCGTCGGGGGTCGTGGGTTCGATTCCCACACGGGACAACTATTTGTGCGACCCACAGATAGTTGTTTCGCATCTGGATGTTTGTCCTCGTGCAATTTATGTTTGTAAAACGTCCTTACAACACAGGATAATGTTATCCTAAAGTGAGGGCAATGTTTTCAATTATAGACAATTATATCCAATCCGATAGTCGTAAGTGCCGTCTCTTACAAGCCTCTACCGCTAGGTACGTTCCGCCGCAGTTAGCGTCGAAACGTCCTCAATTACCCTGACAATGAGACGACTATCGCCATCGACAGGATTAAAAAACTACGCAAGCATACCCACACACACCGCATGATTAATTGCGATGAAGTGCGGCAAACATATACTAGCAGATTCTCCCCAATTAATCATAGAAGCGTTGCTGGTGTTTCTTCCGCCACTTCTCCCAGCGCCAACGCTCTCCGAAGTGGTAGTAATGTTAGATCTACAAATTCCCCCAGTCAGATAATACCTACCGATCGAGCTAAGGTCCGGCCGTGCGCCAGGCCACCTCAAGTCCAACAGTGGCTCATAAAGCCCAAAAAAAGTCTAAATGGACTTGTTTGTCATCGGGTTTTTACCACGTGGAGATGCATCCGGATAATATGTAAATGTACCTAAAATGATATTCTATGTAATGATATACTACATAAATATCTGAAATATACTAATAAATCGAAGATAATTATACTGCGTTATGATATGAGATCCCTTGAAGTTTGTTAACTTTAGAGCTTTCATTATTCTTTCATACATCTTTCAACAACAAGAGCCGTGATAGCTCAGTATCCGGGCGCTCGCCTTTAATTCAATATACTCGAGCAACCTGAGTTCGATCCCCGGTGCCGGCACCAATGAAGTTTTTAGCTTTAAGTGCTGACTTATCACGTACTCCGCGGTGAAGAAAAACATCGTGAGGAAACCTGCATATTTTCGAATTAATAATAAAAAAAATATTTTTGGAAGATATGTGAAGTCCGCTAATCCGCAGTGGGGCCGCGTGGTGGACTATGCCCTGATACCCTCTGTGTAGAGGAGGCCTTTGCCCAGCAGTGGGACATGTATAGGCTTTTTCTTTACTTTACATCTTTCAAAGACGGAATTTTTATCATTGTAAAATGTTTGACACTGTGCCTTACTCGCCGCCCTGCCTAACTTCCTGCGTTAACAACATATCTGTAGTATGAAATATTATTGCCACCTTGTTGGTCGCCTGACGAATCACAAATTTTCAATATCTTAAAGACTGCCAATTCAGACCGACTAGTTAGACTCAAATAAACGAATATGACTAGTAGACCGTAGCTTACAAAAAAAGTAAATCAAACACTAACGATGAAGGCCTTTGTAGAATCGAAGCCATGAGAGCTAAAGAAATATCTTATTTTTCTAGATATTAGGTATTCTCTAGATACGAGTAAGCGTATCACCTACGTATGCCATCAAACATAGGTTTGCGCATTAACCGCGAAGAGGAAACCCTTGTTACCACAGATTCCAACGGATTTGGCAAATTTCGCAAAGATTCGCCCGCACATGAATTACTGTTTTCACCTCTGGGCTGGGGCACTAAAACACTATTTGACCGCAGCCAAGAGCTGCTCGAATTATAGACCAGATCCTGTACGATGGCTTCGAATCTTTGGTCTGCGAAGAGATATTGCATCTTTTTGATGTTTCTATCGGAAATACAGGATTTGATTTTTTTTTAGACGAACATACTTTGACGTATTAATATTTTATTTTGGTAAGAAATAACCACAAAAATTCAATTTGTTTGTTTATCCCGTTAAGATTGGTCACCCTATCGAAAGCGGTTTAGGTATTAAACGTTCAGCGAACAGTTTTGGTGCGCGTGAATAGATTATTGTATTGAGACGGTAGGGCAGGAATTTCTAATAGGGTGTCCATAACGCTGGAAAAAATTAAAAATAACCTATAAAAAAAATGAGGTCACAAATACGTACCAGATTCAGATTTAGAAACAAATTCTGCATATGCTCTGTTAATATGTACGTCGCTTATAAAATCATCCTGTATAACGGGGAGTGCTCCGAGGAATTGTTCGGATTGATGCCGAATTTCACTATAGTACAATTCGTCAAGCCGCCCATTACCATTTACATCACATTGATGGATTGGCGGTTTACCACTGTATTTTAACGCATTGATACTTCATTTCATACACCTGAAAACACTACATTTGAAGACCAGATCATAGATAAGACATATATACTGAAATTAATGAAATATCGGCTGACAACGTTTCGTGACCGCGGGTCGTGTTAATTGGTTGTTATGTTTACGCATCTGTAAACGCTCGGGATTTGCAAATAACATTGGAAGGCGATGATCACTTTATACTACTAGAATCATTTAATGATTGTTACCGCCTGATAAAAAATATAAGAGGAACTGGAAGAAATAGAAGAATCGAAATAGGAATATTAAAGGAGCGAAGAATATTTTTATGTCCAGTGAGTAATATAAATTATCATTTAGTATCATTACTCACATATTCATTTTAAATTTGAATATATCAAAGTGTAAATAAGTGAGTGAATGTAGGTACATATTATCTGAAAACAAAAATAGTTTCTGATTAAAACATATAAAAATATTACTTTTTCAGTACAGAAATATTTTTGCGATTAATGTATTTAAAAGAATGTAGTAATCTCTTATCTCTTTAAACGCAATCCGGAAGATAGGAAATGTAATTACCTAGAGTCGAAGTTTTTGAACGCACTTGTCCGTTTGGCCGTTGTGTCAATTGACATTTGAAAACAATGCAGTGCGAACTTTTGTCTCGTTACAAAAACGATTATTTTACTTAATTTTCTAAGAAAGATGTAACTAAATAAACATTCATAATTTGTGACTGATAATGTGTTATTCACTGTATATATTGTAGGAACTCATTCGTTACTTATATATTTAGTGTCGATTGCAACATGACCACTCCAGATGTTAAATGGATAGAAAAACTAAGAATAGAAAATTTAGACCAATACTTTACACTAGTGCGCATGCATTTATCTTTCGTTGTTGATATAAATACTGACGAGTAAGTTGTGAACAATGTATTAAACGTTTCATTTATTTATTGTGTACATTTTAATATTGTTCACATTATTGTAGTGTTGATTGTTCAACTGACAAGCCAAAGCAATTTCGATGGAACTTTCACAAGAAGACCAAGAGCTCTAGTTCGAATTCTAGTCAAAGCAATACAAATAACACAAAGAACACTATAGAGGCAAATTCTATTACCGAAGAAGGTATCCTTAGGTTAAATGAGTTAATAGACTATCTAGCTAAGCCAGAAAGTGAGTAACATTTTAAGCATTTAAAAGATAGTTAAGTAACTAATGCTGAATTAATACAAAGAAATATTTAAAGGTGCTTTATTCTAAAAAATTTATTATTTTTTATTTTTGTCTCTGGCCTGATATAAGACAAGATATTAATTTATCATTAATTGTAGATTAATAATCTTTTTTATATTTCACACTTGTGGCATTGCTTTTCAGATGTCACTCAAGAGGGTATATTTCGTCGCACAGGCTCCTTGAGTCGCCAACAAGAGCTTCGTCAGCTTTTATTGACGGGATCAAACTTAGGACTTGAAGACTGCAAATTTTCTGTACATGATTGCGCATCAGTGCTGAAAGGATTTCTTGCGGAGTTACCACAGCCTTTATTGATGGACCAATATTATCAAACCTATTGTACTCTGGCTGGTGAGTATAGTCCATTCACAAATTTAATATTAATGAAGGGGGCAAGCAAGCTGCCAGTTCACCTGATTTTAAGTGATAACTGTCACTCATGGACATTTGTAACACCCATAGTTGCAGATGCATTGCCACTTTTTAACAAAGTGGGCCCGGCTACCTAATTCATCAGATGAAATGTAAGAGTATTACACTTCCACTTCAAACTGATCTTCTATGAGGTCATAATGCTTTCCTGAACGGACCTGCCCATTTTTGCAACAGTGAACTGTTGAGTGGCCCTACACACAGTTACCTCTTGTTAAAAATGATTATGAAAATGATTTATACATTTTTAATTGATTATCAAACCTTCAACCTCCAACCTGCAGCTTTTTAGATTGTCATAATAACATTATTCATGTCTTCTAGTCATGTTTTCAAGTATAACTGGTTTCATGACAATGTTTAAACTTCTACATTGATATTATTCATTCTTACCAGATAATTATTCCATCCTCAGCTCAATATCCAACTAATGCAGAATCGTCAACAGCCAAACTCCTCACTGCTTTGCAACTATTATTGTTGCTGCTAACTCCATCACACAGAAATTTCCTCCAAAGGCTCTTAAGGTTGTTACGTCTTGTGGCAGACAATGAAGCATCTAATAGAATGTCTCCAGATACTTTGGCAACAATGTTTACACCACATTTACTGTGTCCAAGGAAGGTATATATATATATATATTTTTTTTTTTTCTTTTTGATTGTTAGTTATAAGAAATTTTTTGTATTTATTATGTATGAGCTGAAAGATATATTGAGAATTATCACTACAGAAATTAGGTATGGAGAATTTTAATTAAGGCTTTTTAAGTGCCTGGTGGGAATTGAGTTTTACCTAATTAAGTACTGTCAGTACACATGTCGTAATGGTACCATGTCCTTAGTGAAACGTTGAACTCAATTTGTTTCTCCACTAATTCCAGCTGTCACCGGAGACTTTCCACGCGGACTCGCTGGCCCTGTCGCCCGTCATCAGCTTCATGATCCGCCACTCGGAGGAGCTGTTCCGGCCTCCCACTCAGCTCGGCACCGACGCGGCCGCCTACTTCACGCTGCGCGAGCGCAAAAGGCTCATGTCACCGGACGTCGACTTGGACGAGAGCATAACTGACAAGTGAGTAAAACGGAAAAAAAAATCACCATTAAAATCGCAAGAACAAATTCTACACCATAGCATAAAGCGTTAAGTCCTACGACGCCAAATTAATAAAATATTTATTGAATTTTGTTACACTAACAAGATGAAACCAATTTAGACAATTGGATACACATGATATAGTTACAAGATTGTTGAGGTGAGTGCCATCTCAGTTATAGGTGCTAAGCACAATTTGTTAAATGACGCAAAATTTTAAATTGCCAATCGCGCCAAAAGAAGTATGACTTCAAAAATTATTTAAGAGTTATGTGTACAGTGTGGTGACTCCGTGGCGCAGTTGCCAAAGCATTGGATTCGGGGTTGCGGGTCGTGGGTTCGATTCCCACACGGGACAACTATTTGTGCGGCCCACGGATAATTATTCGCATCCGCGTGTATGTTCATGTGAAATTTATACATACACAAATGTTATCATAAAGTACGGGCAATGTTTTAAACAAAATAATAATCAAACGAGCAGCTTCGATATTACACGTCTGTACTGTGCTCCCTCGAGCCAAAACATTACCCATATTACACATCTGCACTGTGCTTCCCACCAGCCAAAACATTACCCATATTACACGTCTGCACTGTGCTTCCCACCAGCCAAAACATTACCCATATTACACATCTGCACTGTGCTTCCCACCAGCCAAAACATTACCCATATTACACGTCTGCACTGTGCTTCCCACCAGCCAAAACATTACCCATATTACACATCTGCACTGTGCTTCCCACCAGCCAAAACATTTACCCATATTACACGTCTGCACTGTGCTTCCCACCAGCCAAAACATTACCCATATTACACGTTTGCACTTTGCTTCCCACCAGCCAAAACATTACCCATATTACACGTCTGCACTGTGCTTCCTACGAGCCAAAACATTACCCATATTACACGTCTGCACTGTGCTTCCCACCAGCCAAAACATTACCCATATTACACGTCTGCAATGTGCTTCCCATCAGGCAAAACATTACCCATATTACACATCTGCACTGTGCTTCCCACCAGCCAAAACATTACCCATATTACACGTTTGCACTGTGCCTCCTACGAGCCAAAACATTGCCCATATTCCACGTTTCAAATTTCACGTTTCCGCAGGACCGCAGCGAACACGGTGTACACGTTCGTGGACCGGGGCCGAACCCGCGCGGAGAACGCGCGCAACCCCACCGACACGGCGCTGGCGCAGCTCTACGCGCACATCCAGGCGCTGCCCGACTCGGCGCACAAGCGGCGGCTCGTCAAGCACTTCAACCGCCAGAACGGCTACGGTGCGCACGAAACTCGAGTCCCGGGCGCTTCCCCAACTCGGCTAGTCCGACGACTGCTGCGTTGACTATCTGCGTTTATTCTAATGCATTTCAAGCAACGCTTGGCGCCGTCCGTTGTGCATCATTCACGGCATACAGCGCCTTAGAAGAAAAACATTCAACTATGAACATTTGTAACGAGATATCTCGCCATTGCTCCTTAAATTTTTATTTCTTGTGCCAGGCTCTGCACTCAAGATGAAAATTCAAATGGTACCTAATATTAAATATTTTTATTAATCACCGTATCTCATTTAATGTGAATGTTAAGTTCTAATGAGTATGAACTTCAGTTAGGATGAGCGGTTAGCTCGACCACCATGACTGACTGCCCTTGTGCCAGAGTTTGATTTCGATCGAATAGGGCGTTAGCATCGCCGATTTAATCGATTTTTTTTTTTTTTTTTAGGCACACCTATACAAATACAGAGGAGCGGCAAAGTGGCGGGCACACGGAGTTTCGGCGACTCGATAAAGAGGCACATCTTCAACAAGGGCTTACTGAATAAAACGCCCAAGAAGGGATCCGGCTCCGGGATCAATACGGTCGAAGAGGTCTGTGTCTTTGTGTTCGCTCGCGCCCGATCTTCAAGCTAAACTCGACCTTACCGCCTTCTTGCATGTCAACGTTCGACTAATTATGCACCGTCTTATTAACTAGTTAACGTGACTAAAACTGTCTTTAAACTGGCTACGTTACATGCGATACTTTCGTATAATTTTTGACTGGCAGTATTTTTTATAGGAAACAGGATATATTTGGCTGATATATAAGATTATATGTTCTGAAATCCGTTCATATGTTCCGAACGTTTAACATAAAGTAATTGTCATTGCCATCTCGTCTAATTGTATTGGAAGAACCGTTCTTTACAATTTTTTAATTGGTAGGTTTTGTAATTGTGAATGATGAAAGTCGATTGATATTTCTTTCAGTAAATCCAATGAATATGTTTTTGAACTGAGCTTACGGGCCGGTGGTTTAAGACGGCCATGTTGTGGATAGCTAAAAAAACATAAGTTTTAACACAGGGGTAGGAACGTTTAAGAATGCAGTAAAATCTTAATTCTACAGCTAAATGTAATAATCCTATAGTAATTAAGTTTTCACTGAATGTAGTTGTGAGTCGCTGAGTATTAGTTCATATCCACATATTATGTTTTTTTGAGATGATAGCGATGGCTTTCGTAAAAAACAAAACAATGCCCTACAGGCCAGTTTTTATATACACAGGTAAAAAAACTAAGTAAAATTATTGCAATGAAATGCAACAGTTCCGTAGATGTAAATACAACAGTTCCGGAGATGTAATATACAATGAAACAGTTTAGATATTGATAACAAATAATGATAATAATATATTTTTTTAGTATTTAATCAATGATACATTTGGCAAGTATCGCATACGTAGCCCCGCTTCAGTTTCCGTCTAACCAATTGCTAACAGCATGCCGTCCGCAGGGGCCGCGCAAGGCCGCACCGACCCACGAGGGATTGCGTACCGCTTTCCCCGACTCCGGTACGGATACCGAATCTGACGACAGCACGCTCTCGGAGGGGGCGCTGGAGCGTCCGCGCCGACGCAGCCCGAAGTTCGCCTCCGAACCGAACCTGAGCAGTTGCGGTCCGGACGCGAGCACGCCGAAGCGCGGCCGGCTGTTCCGCCAGGACAAGGCGTACCGGAAACGCGGCGCGCCTGCACGCGGTACGCCGGTACGCGGTACGCCGGTACGCGGTAATCCGGTACGGGGCGCGCGCGCCTGCGTCGCCTGCTTCGACCCGGACAGCGGCTCGGAGGGGGAGCCGCTTGAGACGAGCGAATGTAGACCTTCCGCCGACGGAGTAGGGTCGGAATTGCTTCGGCTCACCAGCACGCCCGGCCCCGCCGAGGCGATCGCCGAGGGCTGCGTGACCCCCTATCCGGCCCACTTCAGGCGCTCCTCGATGTCGCCGATAACGAAGTCTACGCAGAAGCTCTCCAAGGCTATGCAGGTTGCGCATGTTTCTGCGTGTCATTTTTTTAGTCTGTCGAATTTCGTCTCGTTGCATGATTTAATCGGCTGTGTCGATAACTTTCGATAACCACTCTAGCATGGCTACTTTTGCTATGGATGTTAAATTGATGCATTAGTTATTTAATCATACGTATAATTGTAATGTGATTGAATTTCCTTATAAATTAGGTTTCCTAATCATTTCACGAATTGAACCATACCCGAAAATTAAAGAAATGTTTATAACCCTGTGAAGTTCAGCAGTAGAAGAAGAAGATCAGAAGTGTACTAGTATTACATTTTTTGTATGTTCTTAATTGGGAAACTTATTATATAAATTGCATAAATTTACATGAAATTTTTTAATGCATGTTACGATCTGCTACACTGAGACTAAATTCCTTGATAGTTTAAATACTCACTATATACTGTATTGACTTATTAAAATGGATGTCGTCACTAAATCAGTAATATACAATTTAAATTGGCTTTCCCACTATTCAACAGGAATCCATAATGACGCCTCGCTCTCGAAAACCGCTGATAATCACTTCGGAGCAGCGCGACAGCCTGCCCGAGGGGGCGGAAAGAGCGGAAGCGGAAGGGGCGGAAGTGGAAGCGGCGGAAGTGGAAGCGGAGGAAGTGGAAACGGCGGAAGTGGAAGTGGAAACGGCGGAGCCTAACAACGACAGCGACTTCGTATCCTCGGATGATGACGTCACGCCGCGATTCACCTCCTGCCACCGGTAGGGGATGGTTTGGAACCGTCACACATACATATTTTGACGTCACTGAGTGCGACCAGTCGGTCATATACAAAGTTGAACATTTATAATAATTATGTGTGAAAATGTATGTATGGTTATAGGAACCGGCTTAGAACCTTTTAATTTAATGATATATTGGTTTAGAAGCCATTAATGGTTTTTCTGTTGTAGGAATTCCACAAGACACTATGGATTATGCTATGTGGATTCGACCCAGCACCTTAAGATTAAAACTCGGACACATACACTAGACTACTTGTGTTTATAATACAACCTTTTAAAGGTAGCATACACTTACACTATACATACATATATAAAAATGATTAATTTATCCCACAACAAAGGGTATAAAATTAATTTAGTATCCTAAGCATATCTATGTTCTACTCATTGGCAAAAACTCTTCCTTGCAAAGGCTAAAATGTTTTGTTAAAATTAATATGAGATCTACTGCTGGGTAAAGACCTGCTATTTTGGCAGACTTCACGTATTATTGGAGTTTTTTATATTCTTCGTATTTCTTTATATCTTGAAATTGAACTAGGTTGCTCTAGTACAGAATTAATTCTTATGCTTATGTAATGTATACAAATAATGCTTACAATTCAGTTACTTACGCATTATTCTTATTTATTTCTTATACTTTATTTTCTTAAAATGAGAGTAACTCTCATTTGGGTAGTTTGTACAATGCAAACTTAATAAATATATTTAAGACATAGAAGGAAACAGAATAGTCAAACCATGATCGTAAAAATGTTCAAATAATTTTTACGATTCTTGGTACCGGCCACGTAATATGTGCTCTTTTCGTATCACTGTCCGCCAATTATTGAGTAAGCTTTGATAAAAATTATTGCATTGAGTGACATCACAGTAACGTATGATTGAAAAATTGCTAGGAAATTATCGATGTCACTGTATAGCGAAATTGATACATTTCCGTGATAAGTAAGCGATAAATTAATAATTTTTTATATGTAGATGACGAGAAATAGTATCAGTTACTAGTTACTTGTGTATTCTTGGAAAGTCTTAATTGTTTAGAGAAAACTTATAAGTCAAAGTGGATGAAACTACTGAAATATTTTGAAAGTTAGTGAAGTTAGGAATAAAGTAGGATAATAGCCTTGATTTGCTAAGTAGTCGTTTAAAGTATTTTTAAAGGAAACGCGCAATGTATGCTCTAGAAATCCTTGATATTATTTTAAATGAAACTAACTTTACCGATTTGTCGCGTTTATTTTTGATTTTAATAATCACAAATAAACGCGATATTAATTTATTATCGCGTGTTCAATTTATAATGTGCAATCTCGTAAATACAAGAAATTATGTTCTTATTGCATTTTTTAGCAATGCTTGGAATGCCAAGATAATGATCTAATGTGCCTTCTTTGCAGCGATCACACTATCTCAAAAGCGCGGTAAGGATGTCCAGGCTAGCTTAGTGGCTAGAGCGTCTGGAAGCGTAGGTTCGAATCCCGGCAGCGGCGATACATGTTGCAACAGTTTATGTGCACATTTTTGGATAGAAGTGAATCGATTCATCAACAATGTTAGCAAACAGGCTGAATAATAAATACGTTTGCTAAATGTCGCGTAAATATCGATCGGTCATTAGCAGTCATCAGTTAGTTAATACTGTTCCGTTTGATTTCGCTGAAATGGAATATCTTATTACTCGATTGATACGTCGCGTCACTATCGTGACGCGGTTCATCATTCCATCATCATTTCAGCCTGTTTTAGTCCACTGTCGAATATGGGCTTCCCCCACAGACCGCCACGAAGCACGATCCTGAGCCACCTGCATCCATCGACTTCCCGCACATTTGCACAAGTCGTCACTATCTAGTAGGGTTCGTCCTACACTACAAACGCCAATATGAGTGGCATCCTCGGCTACAGAACCTTTCTTCCGTAACGGTTACTGGTTCGACGCTATACGGCTGGGCCATTGCCACTTCAGTTTACTCAGTCTCCGAGCTAAGTCGGCTTTAAGATACATAACGTACATTGCGTACTCTAACACAGGGAAATAAGGTAATTGGCTTATTGTCGAGAATTATCATCTTTATATAGCAGCTATTTAATCCAGCTGGAGCCGTTCTAGTGCGAACGCTTCCCGCCCCACCCGGGGGCGAAATCCGCGACCTTCCGCTGCTCAGGTCTCTATGGGAGCATATTTCACCCAGCTCCGGCCGCCCGAGCGCGAGTCCCGAGGGCGGACGCCTCTCGCCCCACCCGGGGGCGAAATCGTTGACGGCGCCCTTCCGCGACTACCTGCTCAGCCGGTCGGTGCTGACGGCCGCGCCCGTCGACCTCTCCGCGCTGAGCCAGTCGGACGGCGCGCTCAGCGAGTCGCTGCTCTACTGCCTCGACGGGAACACGCCGTGCGACCTCACCACGTCCATTAGCGGGCTGGCCGTGGACGCGGCGCGCTTTTCGCCCCTCCGGGGGGCGAACGAGCGGAAGCGCGCCGCCCCCCGCGCGGATCTCGCCCCCCACCACAAGAAGGCGACGACGGCCGATGCTCAAGCCGCCCCCGAACACAAGAAGCCGACGGGCAAGGAGAACCGCCGCGACGCGTTCGAGATACGCGAGACGGAGCTCTAGTGCCAGCGCGTTGGATATCAAAATCGCGTGTCGCAGTCTTTTTATGTGAGAAGCGGCAAGCGAGCTGGCGGCTCACCTGATGTTAATTGATAACCGCCGCCCATGGACATTTGCAGATGCATTGCCACCTTTTAAAGTGGACCCCGGCTACCAAGCTCATCAGACGGAACGCGGAAGTATAACGCATCAACTTTCCGACGGTTTTACGTGATGTCATGATACTTACCCGGACGGACCCGCCCAATCGTGTAACAACGAAGAATATTGCGTGGCCATACCACAGTTGTGAGAAATTTCCACCTCGGTGTCTGTTTGTGTCTGTTTGCAAGTGTGTGGCTCAGTACATGTCAGTGGCGCCAAATGTGTACGCTTAATGCGCGGTTGTATTTATATTGGACAATTGTAGTGGAATGAAAATGTATACAATGTAAGGATTTAGCTTATTTCTAACAAGGGATACCATTTTTCTTTCTGAAACGATTTATGTTAATAAACGTTAGCATAAATTTAATTTCATTGCTTCAATATTGTTTTGATTCATTAATTTGTCAGATCTTATTATCTTGATGGGTAGTAATTGTTTATTTTTGATCTGTTACGATCTTATGCTAAATGAGAGTAAAAAGAAGTACAAAAGCAACTAAATATCATAATAATTTTACCAAAGTGTTTGCAATGTGTATTGTTGCATGGAACAGACATATAAATACTGATTTATTTTTTATCTGTTAACAAACTGTCCAAAATAATGGTTTTGTTAAAGTAATGGGTATAAGGACTAGGGAGTTGATTAAATAGTACAGTCAATTTAACTCATTTGTGATGACAGCTTTTAACCATAATTTTAATGTATAAACATAATTTATTATCGTAAGACCATACCCAAAGTATTAGTTGCAGTCAGATTTAAATGTTGGTTTAAAATGATAGTGTGGAAGTTTGTTATGGAAATTACAAATCAATTATGAAAATTATAACCCTAATTTTCGATAAGGCTTATTATTGTTAACCGACGCAGACTTAACTGTTATAAATAAACATTAATCGATTATAAAGTATAGTATAATTTTGTTCCGACCTCATTTATTAAATGCGAAAATATAACGTTATGGTTTTTTTTTATGAACCAAGTCAAAGTGAGTACAGTTGTTAAGATGTTATTTCAGGGGCCCTGGGCTTTTTATGCCTTTTCTACAGGCGTAATACCTACAAAAATATTTTATCCCTTCCGAGTCGTCCACCCGTAAATTAATAACTCCTTCAGTCTAAATTTATTTTGAAGTATAAGTTTTAAAAACGAATGTTTATTAGTATACTAACGCTATTCTAATCACGCAATGTTTTCGAAATCGAAAATAACTGTAATTTTTTTGCACAGAAATCTGTAATAATTTTTTGTAAAGCACAAAGGGCCAATTTTAAGTTCATTATCATCATCATCACCAGCCGCAAGCCGTCCCCTTAGAACGCCACAACGGACGACGCTTTGCCATTTGCATCCACCGGTTGCCCGCGACTCTTATGATGTCGTCGGTCCATCTAGAGGGAGACCTTCCCTCGAATAAATTTGAAGTTACCAAGTATCAAAAGAATATTAAAAAAAAAACACAGGACTCTGCATACAACAAGTTCGGAAAAGGTAAAAAGAAAAGCAGTTTTATGATTTTATTTTAAACAGTAAAATGAGCGAACGCTTTATAATTTTTTTTAAATATAAAGGATCGGCGCTCTGAAGTAAGTGGCAAGTAAGTCTAAATGGTTTTTATTAAATAGTAAACGTTTGAAAAGTTACAAATATTCGCGCGGGACGTACCTTCGATCGTGTTTTCCGTTTAGACAAAAAAGAGTATTGTGACACCGATTATGGTTATAACGGTCATGAAACATAAGATGTTGCAGCCGAAACGGATGAAACTGAAACCGCTGCAGCAGCCTTTTTTGGTGCTTTTTTCTTGGCTGGAAACAAATTCATATAAATTACATGGTCATAGCTCACTCCACAAATTAAGTCGTAAAAATAGTGGAAAGGGAGCAGGCGGTTCGCCGGATGATAAATGATGTCCGCATCTATAAAACGTATGCTGGAAACGCACCTTTAAAAAAGTTGTATCAGGTTATCTCACTCAGCACACCAATAACAAAAGTGATATACTTCTATATATACTTCTACTTCACCATGGTCTTCCGTGAGGCCGTGGTACTTCCCGGACGAGCGGAAGCTGTCGTAATCCATTGTCGCTGCAATGCCATAGAGGATGACCATAGTGATAGTTTGGCTCCTCGATTGCGCCAAATTCACAGTAGGAGCTCGGTAACATATAACATTATCTTGTGTTGTAAGTTCGCTTTACAAACAAAAATTTCACACGTACAAACACCCAGATCAACGACTATTCGTGGGTCACATAAATAGTTGTCCCGTGTGGGAATCAAAGCCACGACTCCGACGCCGAAGCCAATACCTTGACAACTGCGCCACGGATTCATTATCATTCGGTGCGTCTCGGCTGACCCACTCGTTTCTCACAATTCTGCGGTTTACACTACCGACTGCCGTATTACACAGGGTGAATGCATATAGAGGGTGAACGCATAGGTATACAGTGTGAACGCTGAATATGCTCAACAAGCTATAGATACCAGTACCCGATTGGCAGGGGAAAATGCTTAGACAATACTTGTTTTAAAGAAAAGTAAGAGAAAACTAAAATTGATATATTTTTAGTCAACGCATGATATGAAATCGGGCACTAGTTGGTTATTTAACAAATTTTTCAATTTTGTATGTTTGACTTCAAGTTGGTAGGTAGGACTTTACGGTGGTAGGGCCACGCAGCAGCCTCGGCTGCTCGCATCTGAAACCCTCGGGTGTGGCACATGTCCATAGGTGGCGAAATTCACTTAACATCAGGTGAACCGTCTGCTCGTTTGACAACTTTTCGAATAAAAAAAACGTAGGTATTTTGGAGTCTTCTATTTTGAGCTTCTATGATAATATTTATTTTCCAAATATGTACATGATTTATGCTTTGTTTCCTATACAACAGTTGTTCCAATCCGACAGTTAAAGCATATGCGAAAAACTTGCAGTGCCGGATCGAGCGTCTACTGTATAATATGTTATTCTTAGATTGTTCACGAAACGCAGGTCAAACTAATGCATACATTAAAACCACATTTTTATATTAGTACTTATATGAGAAAATCTTATTAAAAAAACAGTTGCCTCAAAATGATTTCCTATTTCAATGTTTTCATATTACATTAAAATGTAAGATATTAACGAAAGGCTCGATAATTCTAAACCAGCTAAGTCTTAAACTTAGTTATTAAAACTGGCGGTTCCAACAGCTACCTAAAACCGAAGCATTATAAATTCAATTTATTCCATCCCCAGTTCAATCTCCGAAGCGGGCACTAAGTCTAAATTGTTAATTACAATATAAAGGGCTGACTTACAATGTGCTATAGCGGTAAGATAGTGAGTTATAGCAAGTTTAGTTCCAATGTCTTTACAGTGTTACTTTGTTATTTTTATGTAGGTACATGTTACTTTTTCATATGGAAATTTTTATGTGTCGAAAATCCACTATTTATATTACTTGAATAAATCGCTTCTTAAAAAATCCTATGTCTTAAGCTGCATTATTTTTAAGAATAATGCACTCGATTGTGGTCCTTAGATCATAATGCCATAATAATAAAAAGACTAAAATGAGCGTAAGGATATGCTTTGAATCAAAGATATTTTATGTTATACGCATACAAAATCACCGGTCGAAAGTGTTCCTATTTCCAATCAGAGTGACAGTAATCAGGTAATTAAAGTGAATAACATATCAGAGTGACAGTAATCAGGTAGTTAAGATGAATAAGATAAAATAGGATTTGCTGAGGAGAGGATTTGCCGCCTCTTTCTTTGTCTGCTTCACTCTGAGCGCGTAAATAACATATATGTTAAAAAATTATTGCTTTAAGCATAAATTTTTAACGTACCCTCGCTTTTACTTTGTGTACACTTGTCAAAGTAACGAAAGAGACAACGAATACTCACTCCCTGTTTGCGGAGACTGAGCGCGATTTCCATTTGATTTTGGATTTCGTACTGCATATCTTGTTCATGTCCTTACTGAACTCCGGGAAGGATTGTGTCCTATTGCATAATGTTTGATGGTAGGAATGTAAGCGCCGCAGTTCCCTCAAACATCGCTCCCTCTCTATTCGCTCCTTTGCTTCGAGCATGCGTTTTTCGTCCTCCTTTCTTTGTGCCCTCTGTCTCCATTCCTCCACAAGCTTGCGGTACGACTTTTTTAAGCAGTTTACCTTCTTTTCTTTCGGCTTCTCTATGTAATGTCTTATCACCTTAGGATAGGGGTACCATCTTCGTTCTTCTATTACTAGTTCAGGTCTGTGTATTACAAAAGTGAAACAATTTTAGTAACAAAAAACAAAACCGATTTCAAATATCTCACTAGCTGTGTTTTCTATTTGATTTTGGTGAGTTGACTGTTGTATTTCTTGAAGGTATTGTTTGTTATTTACGTCTTGGTCTGTAGTTTCTCAGTGGATGGATGCCTAGTATAATTTATCTTCAAAACATTAACTATTTAGTCATGTAAACATGTTTAGCGCGTCTTACTCTTATACCCGCACCCACGGGAAATCAACAGTTAAAATTGCAATTAATAATTCCATTGGTGCCGGCACCGTATTATGTACTTAAATTATTCGATTACTAAGTTAATAGCCAGCAAATTCTTTTTCTCTCTTCATGTGTGGAGAAGAAACTTTTGTGATAGCTAAAAATTTCGAGTCGGAAAAAGGTAACAGTATTATAGTAAGCCGGTACAGATGCTGGGAAATATAATTGATACTGATAAATTGGAAACTTCATTCCGCAGTTTTCTCTCGTTTAATTTAATAATAAAAGGGGGTATAAAATAAATCTATAATTACTTTGGAGCGAAAACGTCGTAAAGCAATCAAACATAAAATGCATAGAAAAACTTTTATTATAAAACTTTACAGACAGAAGAACAATTAGATATAGGTTACAACATTAAAGCAAAATGTTTTATCTGCCAACGGATCGCTTGATAACTATACCTGAACCTGATGCAGAATTAGTTTCAGTCTGCGTAATGTTTCTAATATAATATTTTCTCGTATCAGGGGAATGTAATTTCAATTTGCTAAATACTGATTCTGGGAACCAACACAGATACAACTGTTAAGTTCGGTATTAAAATAAGATAATGTAGCAAGTAATAGTAGTGTTTAAGCTATCCTAAAAGACATCTATGTAAGTAATATAACTAAGTCCTTCCTAAAGCAAATAAATAAAAAAAACTAGGAAATTTATAAAGGAAAAACAGAAGTAGAAATAAGAACGAATGAATGTGTTACACGAAGTCTACCACTCGAGATGTATTGCACCAACTTTAGTGACATGATGTTTACTTTAACTACACTTTTTTAAAATTGCATTAAGCCCCCCGTTTGTACCAGCTTGTACAAAAAAAGGGTTTCATAAATAAATAAATAGATAATTAAGTTATACTGTAGATATAACACAAAGTTGCAACAGTAATTACCTTAGAATGGATATGGGGCTGCATTTGTCACAGCCAATTGCGAATGCGGGACACGACACATTACGGGGAGCGCTACGAGCGAATTTACGAAACATTCGGGCTACATTTTATTGAATAAACCTATTTTACTTTTGCTCCATATTAACAATAAATTGAGGTCGCATTGCATCGACACTCGAACCGTATTATTTTACGCCATTGGCCGTAACGACTGTCAGTGTGACCATAAAAAGAGGTTGCGTTAGTTTATGGTTTCTTCCCTTTACAAATTTTTATTAAAGACCCTTCTATTTGTCTCTTGGGTATATGATTCGCGCATTTTAACAAATAATGTTCAATGAGCTTTTTCTATTTCAGAGATCAATAAAAACCAAAACGTTGATTTATCAGTCTTCTTTCTCATGCTGTGGCACAAATGGCGAGCACGTCACGATCTCACAGAAGACCAACGTGAAGTGGAAGTATTATATCATACTTTCGCACTTCGTATGGTGGGTTAGGTAACTAAGGCCAACTTTTTTACACGTTGGCAAAGCGACCCACCTGGTCATTAAAATCACTTTCTTTGAGGAAAACAGAGTAGTTATTTAACAACTTTTCACATAAAATAAAACTTAGATGGTGTCAGGGCAACAAGACGTGCTGTTAATGGTGTTGGCTAGGGTCATTTACGACCTGCCTGCCTGTCGTCAACTTTCCTTTGGAATAAATACCCCAAATGGGACAATTAACTGTGAATGACACAAAACTACCTGTCCCGTATGAGAGTCGAGCAACTGCGCTAATAAGTTATCAGAGTTCATCTATAAGGATTGCTTTAAACGTACAAAATTATGGTAGTTAATAAATAGTATTATAAGTAAACTAGCTGCTGCCCGCGACTACGTCTGCGTAGAATAGGCTGAAAGTGTAACATTCAGACAGAAAGACAGATATACATAAAATATGTATATAAATTATAGCTTATGTCTTATTCTGACGTATAAGCTATATTATTGTAAAATTTTATTAGAATCAATTCAGTAGTATTTGCGTGAAAGAGTAACAAACATCCATCTATACATACAAACTTTCGCGTTTATAATATTAGTAAGGATTAAATTGAATTTCCTATAGATGTTTTCCAAATTTTTCTTAGCTCTCTTCCTCCGAAACGCCTAAACCGCTTAGGCAAATAGGGAATTTTTCGGCCCATAATTCAGGCTACTTTTAATATTTTGTAGAAAACAAAATTGATTAAACGCATGGAAGATTGAGAAATTGTTGTTTAAATTACGTTGTTAGATATTAGATAATCTGTACAAATAAAAAAAATCGAAATGTATCTCTTATAGTATGTTAAAATACCTAATTAAGTAATAATATAACAATTAATTATCTATATTTTTGCTCGTGTTACAAAATACATTGTAATTACAATAATAGTAGTATTTTTTCCTTACAATCGTGGTAAAAAATTAGTTATAAACGTACGAGTATGTTGTATTTATATAATTATTATGAGACGTCAAATAATACTCATTACTAGGTACGCTTAATATTCTTGATTTTATAATGGATCTACCATTAAATTATTTCAAAAATATTCACAGTGAAATATTGCAACTTTGCGTACATATACAAGACATTTTCTGTGATTATTTTGAAACATGTGAACAATGTTTTAATTAGGCTCAAGTTTAGGAACTTGCTTTTGGGTCTTGTCTGTGGAACATTGCTTTCGAATATTTAGCTTCAAACATTAAGGAGCAACTTTGCTCATTATTTTGTTTTAAAAGGCAGAACCGGCTTGTGACGTAACATAAATAAATAAATACTTATTTCCTGACATGATTATTTACAACTTTCTAGTCTAATTATCTAGTCCAAATTAAGCAAAGCTTGCACTATGGACACTAGATAACTGGTAAACGCATTTAAACATCTTTACTTCAACTTTATTTACACCCAACAAGATAACCACCGCCCAACTACAGTTACAACTACAATATGCTTTGCCAACTAAAAAGTGGGCCCGGTATCCTCACGCGCCAGACGCAATGCGATTTACACGTGTTCAGTTGTGATGGAAACATCGTAAAGAACAAAACTGTATGTTTTCGTAATGACTACAAAAAAAAATCGAAAAAGTCTTTAATGACATAGGGTGGTCTATGCCCTAATTCCCACTATACAGAGAACTTTGCCCAGCAGTGGGACTTGTATAGGCTGTTACTTTAATCGGATTGTTACTTGTGATGAATAGCAGATGCTGTATGATCATCGGAAACGGCCGTTGTGCTGGTTGAGTGTCATTGAGGCCAAAAAAGTTGCCGGTATTGTATTGTTGACTTGAGCAGGCTTTATTTATAGTTTTTGGAACGCGGCACATAAATTAGTATTGCAGAGATTATTGCGAATAATTGCAAGTAATGGTGGGAAAGCTTGCCGTATAGCAACTGAGATTTGCCAATAACTATAGTCGACACCTCCACAAGAAATACAGAAACAAAAGGAGTTACGTCTGAAAACTGGAACTACACTATATTCCTTACCCAAAGGGTAAACGGGAGCCTATTACTCCGCTGACTGTCCGTCTGTCACCTGGCTGTATCTCATGAACCGTGATAGTAAATCAGTTGAAATTGTGATTATGTTTTTCTGTTGTCGCTATAACAACAAATACTAAAAAACAGGATAAAAAATATTTAAGTTTTGCCGTTTTTACAGATTATGGTACGGAGCCTTTCGTGCGCGAGTCCGACTCGGACTTGGCCGGTTTTTTAATCTAAGTGGAGAATTTTTTACTCAACATCCAGCAAATAACGTTCTGTACTTCGCAAAAATAAATATACGTATGTTTTTCAGGGAAAAAACGATGATTTTTCATACTTGTCAGAGGCGATTTCATATGATAAAATGTTGTAATTGTTTAATTATATTGCCATATCGATCCCATAAAATTTACTTATATTATAAGTTAAATTTGAATAACTTTAAGTTATTTTGATTGTGTTTAAAAAATCCATAAGCAGATGTTATCTCTATTATTAAATGTCTTTATACAATTAAATATCTCTCTTCAATCTTTATGCTGTTCAATAATTTAAAGTTGGTTTTTGTTATAACATTAGTCGACCACTTAATTGAAAGTTGTGTACACCTGTAATTGACAAACATATATGCAATGTTATTTTTTTTTGTTCTAATCTTAATGTACTTTTATATATGTTTTGCTGTTGGTGTACGTAATAAAGAAGAAAAAAAAAAGAAATATGTTTATATTCATTTACCATCATAAAGCGGATGGTTATTTATGGTTGAAGCCATTGAATTATTTCTATAAAAGGTTATTCACTAAGGTCTGTCAATCTTTCTCTCTGTGTCACCAAACGAAGAGGCTTCAAAGCCTGAAAGGGGCTTTCCGTGTCATTCAAGTATTTTTGGGTAGCGGCAAAGAGATTTACATATTGAGATGGAAACGTTATGTAAAAAAAACCCTGGCCTTAAAACAAACAGCAATTTTCTTATTCTATTTAGTTCCAATACGGCATAACGTCGACCTGAAGAAAAACATTTAAATAAAGGTCTTCAACCTTAGAAATGGAATTTACATATTCTGTAGCATCTGCGTTACTTTTTATTATATTATGTACTATACATTTTTAGAATAGAAATTACAATATGTATATATATGTTAGCTAGTATTTGCACGAAATTCGAGTGTTAAATTAATTATATATCATTAAACGTTTGTTGCATAATGATCTGTATACTATTGTTTAAATAGTTGTGTTGCGAGAGTTCGATTTTAGTTACATATAATCAATCTATTTTCACCGACAAGCAAAAAAAAAAAAAATAAGAAACTAAGGAACAAGAATTATTTATATCGAAAGGTGTGTAGTTTCTAAACATTTGTTCATTTTAAATTGATCGAATTCATTACCTACACTTTTTTCTGGAAACTGGAACTACACTATATTCCTTACCCAAAGGGTAAACGGGAGCCTATTACTCCGCTGACTGTCCGTCTGTCACCTGGCTGTATCTCATGAACCGTGATAGTAAGTCAGTTGAAATTGTGATTATGTTTTTCTGTTGTCGCTATAACAACAAATACTAAAAACAGGATAAAAAATATTTAAGTTTTGCCGTTTTTACAGATTATGGTACGGAGCCTTTCGTGCGCGAGTCCGACTCGGACTTGGCCGGTTTTTTAATCTAAGTGGAGAATTTTTTACTCAACATCCAGCAAATAACGTTCTGTACTTCGCAAAAATAAATATACGTATGTTTTTCAGGGAAAAAACGATGATTTTTCATACTTGTCAGAGGCGATTTCATATGATAAAATGTTGTAATTGTTTAATTATATTGCCATATAGATCCCATAAAATTTACTTATATTATAAGTTAAATTTGAATAACTTTAAGTTATTTTGATTGTGTTTAAAAAATCGATAAGCAGATGTTATCTCTATTATTAAACGTCTTTATACATTTAAATATCTCTCTCCAATCTTTATGCTGTTCAATAATTTAAAGTTGGTTTTTGTTATAACATTAGTCGACCACTTTATTGAAAGTTGTGTACACCTGTAATTGACAAACATATATGCAATGTTATTTTTTTTGTTCTAATCTTAATGTACTTTTATATATGTTTTGCTGTTGGTGTACCTAATAAAGAAGAAAAAACAAGAAATATGTTTATATTCATTTGCCTTCATAAAGCGGATGGTTATTTATGGTCGAAGCCGTTGAATTATTTCTATAAAAGTTTATTCACTAAGGTCTGTCAATCTTTCTCTCTGTGTCACCAAACGAAGAGGCTTCAAAGCCTGAAAGGGGCTTTCCGTGTCATTCAAGTATTTTTGGGTAGCGGCAAAGAGATTTACATATTGAGATGGAAACGTTATGTAAAAAAACCCTGGCCTTAAAACAAACAGCAATTTTCTTATTCTATTTAGTTCCAATACGGCATAACGTCGACCTGAAGAAAAACATTTAAATAAAGGTCTTCAACCTTAGAAATGGAATTTACATATTCTGTAGCATCTGCGTTACTTTTTATTATATTATGTACTATACATTTTTAGAATAGAAATTACAA